AGACTTAATATTAAAACCACAAAATACTGGGATTCTCTAATAGTCTCCTTCCACTTCATAGAAACAAAAGGTTTTATGATGTGTTTAAAAACAAAATTGCTGTAGGAAAGGTCTGCTATTTCAGATCAAATGCTTCAAAATGCTTATATGATATGCCTGAGAGTTCCCCCTGAGCTGCTTCTCCCTGCCTGCCCTCCTGCATATGCATGCTGGTTTTCTCCCATCCAAATGAATCGGTGTTTGTATCCAGAAGACAGCTGTCCTGGCATCCCAGGCTGCATGGAGGGGGCTTCGGGAGATCACCAAGCAGATAGATTGCATAATGTGTGTGTGTACCTACAGCAGAGGATACAGAAAACGCCTCACTATTCTACTGTAAAAACAAAAATAATCAGGAATATGACAAACACTGCTGGTGAAGGCTGTGAAACATAATTATGAGTAGATTACTCCATAACTGCTCTCCTGAGGTCCTCTACACACACACTCTTCTCTGAAGCAGCAGCTTAGACAAGTGTTGGACTTGGTCAACAGCTAAATTGCCTTAATATGTCACTTGGTTTTCGTACTGAAAGCTCTGGACATGGAACCTCACTTGAACAATCAATATTTTGTACTCATTACTGCAAGTCCAGAATGCCATCACTGCTGATTTAACCACTGATGAGTTTGGAGACACCTGTGTGTGAGCTGGTTGTTTGGACTTCCTGCAAAGAAATAGGCACTGCTACGATGCAATTCTTTGTGTCCTAATGCACATCTCTAGATTTGGTCGGATGAATTGCCCCCTGAAAGTGTTTTTTTTTCCCTGACTTGTTTATAGTGGGAAACAGAGTAATTAGCTCAAAAATAGCAGGAAACGTAAAGATAGGTAAGGTGAATCCGACCCTTTTAGTCCTTGCTTTTCATTCCGGCACAGCTCTTTACATGTATCATTGATTCATAAGATGCACTTTTTAAGTAAGCCAAATGTGCTGGGTTTTGTTGTTTGAACGATTATTTTTTCACTAGAAAAAAAAAAAAAAAAGAAAAAAAAAAAAGAAAAACCAACCTCATGCATTGAACTGGTCTATTAATATAACTGCTTTAATGAAAGGAAACCAGATAGACTGTCTTTCTCATATTGAATCATAAGTATAGTATTTCTCAGCATTTCCTGTCAAAGTTTGCTGGATAAAATTGTTTTCAACCAGAAAGTTTCCTAAATACTTGCTTATTTGTGGGTGTTTCTTTTTACAGCACCTGGTACAGTAGGGTCATTGTATATGCCCAGAACACCCTGGCATTGCAGCATTACTAAGAAAGTATTTATTCTAATACATAAATATCAGCCCAACATTGCAATATTGAGTGTAACATTTGGAAAGAGCGATTCTTGACTACCCTTAAGTTTAAAGCTATTATAAGTACCAGTTTGAAAAGGAACGAGGATACCTAATAATGTAGAGCCCTGTAGAGGCTTGTCCATTTGCTGTAAAATCTGTGCAGAAGTTCATAATATACAGGCTGAAACAGTGTTGTGTCCGTCCAAATGAGCAAATAAGGTGTTACTGTGACTGACTTGGGGCTGTATGGCAATATAAGGAATGAGCTAAGGGAGTATTCTTATAAATGTCCTTCCCTTCCCTTTTTTTGAATGCAGTTAAACATGAATATGCATATATAAACATATATATATAAACATGAATATGTTTACCTGGCAGCAAATTGGATCGGAGTTCCCAAACCTGAATTTCCATCCCCACCCTTTGAAGTCAGAGGAAAGGTCCCATTGGCTGCCATGAGCTTTGGACCACACATGGCAACAGGCCAGGGTCACCCATGTTCTCCACGAGGACTGTTTGGACGTGCCATACCTGTTTCTGATGAAGTTTCAAAGAGAAAATAGAAATGAACAGTTGATGCGTCCAAGACACTAATTTTTCACTTCTTTCCCTAAACCTCTCAGCACTTCAGTTTAGGTGTAGCTCAGACTGAAGCTGTTTGTCTTGCTTTGGCAGGAATGCTGCAGAATGGGAAGAAGTTTGATTCCTCCAGAGACAGAAACAAGCCCTTCAGGTTCAAGATCGGCAGGCAAGAAGTCATTAAAGGATTTGAAGAAGGTGTCACACAGGTACGAAGAAGTTATTCTACCTGAACTTCAAACCACGTGAAGAGTGTGTAAGCACAGCAGTGCTCGGTGCAGTGTTGACGAGACCAAGTGGAAATGGCAGTGTAGAATCCCACAAGATTTTCTTAATGGTTTTAACCACCCTTGCCAGGTGTCAACGTGCCACATAACCCTTGCTTCTTCCCCAGGGCTAACTACCACAAATAAACCCCAGCAGCCTCTAAAATGTTCCAGGTGGCAGCATTTATGGAGCGGCTTCTCTTCAGCTGCTCCATAAAGGCCAAGCTGCCATTTTGATGACCTCCATGACTTTGACCCTTACTGAACGGGTACCAAACACCATTGCTTTTATGACTTAAGGCTCCCAGCTACAAAATTCAATGAGAAGCCCTCAGCCAGGAAAAAGCAAACTGCCCTCTGTTAACTACAGCTTGAGTGCCAGCATGGTAAAACCTGGAAGGAGCCACACAAGGCAGTTCGTTGCCATCTCTGAAGCGTTTTGTCTGCAACGCTGGGAGGTCCCACCCTGAGGAGTGCCATCAGGGCTCTCAAGTGCCAGAGTGAGTGAGAGCAGGGTGCAAAATTCCTTGTTATTACCTAGTTCTGGGTCCGGGAGCTCAAAGTAGGAGGAAATTGCTCAAATATTATTAACGGGAATAATTGTTTATGCTTAACTAAAGAGAAGGAAAGAATGCAAAATGAGAAACTTGGGTGCAGAGGGGTTAGTTTTAGCCCAGTGCAGATAAAGCTCTGGCAGCAAGCTCGGCGTGAATCAGTTTTATCCCTCCCTTAACATTCCCTCACCACCCCGTGGCCCTTCATTAGGGTGGCCTGAACCCAGGCCAGCAGCCGGGGTAGCCACACGCTGCCCTCCTGCTCCTCCTAGTGGATCAGTCACCGACGTTAAGCCCGTGGCTGTCTTCTAAAGGCTTTGGGGACTGTGATTGACACAAGGCTCTTGGAAAAAGGCAGCTCACTCTGTCTAGCATTTAGATTTGGATTTAGGGAGCTCATCTGCTCTTATACCCTCAGTCCTGTGCTGTGAATGCTCCCTGAACGTGAGAAAGTCATACTCATATTTTTCTTCTATCTAGTCATCAAAGCTCCATCTTTGGTGTATTTTATAGAAACCAAAAAGAAATTCAACAGAAGTTGCATAATCCATAGTCCAGTCCAGTCTCGGGAGAGAAGGCTGAGTTAAAATCACTGCCTCAAATCCGGGATCATTCCCTGGTCAGTGAATAATCAGTCACCAGCATAGGGTGCATGAGTCTTACTTTGAGAGGAATTCAAGCCCTACCTCAAATAGTTTGTTGGAAGAACAGGGTTTTGACTCTTCATACCCCAAATACTGGTGAGTACTTTTACTGCTAGAACTAATCTGGGGTGAGAGAAATGGGCATCTGTGTCCGTCCCAGGGGCAAGGACTCTGTTGTGGAATAAACAGCCCCTGAGGTGAGGTGTCTGCCCTTGGATTTGAGCCTATGGGAACCTCTTTTAAGTAGGAGTGCATCAGTGCTTACTTTGCATCTGCCCAGCAGTAGGAAGTTGGATGTTTACAGCATTAACCTTTGGGCAGTAGTTTTGAAGTCACAGAATGACAGAATCACCTAGGTTTGGAGAGACCTCCAAGATCACCGAGTCCAACCTCTGACCTAACACTAACCAGTCCTCCACTAACCCGTATCACTGAGCTCTACATCTAAACGTCTTTTAAGGACCTTCAGGGCTGGTGACTCCACCGCTTCCCTAGGCAGCCCATTCCAGTGCCTAACAACCCCTTTGGTAAAGTCATCCCTGCTGGTGGCTGAAGAAGGAAAAATGGGGCTTCTTCACTGCTTGCTAATGAAGCAACGATTGTCGCTTCCCACCTGTGTTCCTGCTCTGATTTCTCATGACTACAAAGCTCTGACTGTACCTGCCACTGGGAGCCTTGTCCATAATGCCTGCTGACGGTGTTACAGGGATCCCGCACCTCTCAGCAGAACTGGCGATCTAAATAACAGCGGTGAGAAGCCGGAGTTAGGAGACCTGAGCTGTGGCAGTTTGAGCTTTCTACAAAGGCTGAAAGATGAATCCCATGGTCCTAACTGGCCTCGATTCTGTAGATCTGCCATGCAGCGATTTGTTCTTTTCCTCCTATAATATTGTGTTTTATCTTTTTTCCTCTCTCCCACACCCAAAACCCAGATGAGTTTAGGCCAGCGAGCGAAGCTGACCTGCACACCTGAGATGGCCTACGGAGCCACGGGGCACCCCGGGGTCATCCCTCCCAACGCCACCCTCCTCTTCGACGTGGAGCTGCTCCGGTTGGAGTGAGTCTTCTCGAGGGAGGCACCTGTCGATAACCATCCCTTCCTCCTCCCCTGCCCCGCAGCAGGAGAAATCTTCACTGGAATCCTCCCCTTCCCTGCTCAAGCCGTCACGTCAGTAGCGCCTGCTGTTCGGTTTCTGAAGCCTTCTCTCCGGTTTTTTAACTCTGTGGTGTCCGTAGTTGCCTTTTATCGGAAGCTTTGCTTTGGGAAAAAAAAACGTCTCCCGCTGTAACATGTTCAAGTTGTACATTTTATTTACCTTGCATGTAATAAACAGTCACGGTGACGATTGCAAATATATATAAATATAAATATATATATATATATTCCTTACTGAAAAACCACTGCCTTACTGTACACTTAAACCAAGAAAAAAAAATAAAAACACAAAAGGTGCTCAAGAAATCCAATGTACGCCTTGTACATGAACGGGCATTAGCCAAACAGAGTTACCTGCGCTGCCACTTTTCTCAACTTGTACGTTCTGCTTGCTGCTGTTTTAAAAAGTACTGTCTCATTTAAGAATTAAATATATATATATAAAACAATAAAATATTGATACTTTACAATTTCTGTGTTTTTTTTTTTTTTCTGCTTTCTGCTGACCGTTGGAATGATATTTGGTGCATAAGATGCTCTTCAAACAATCATCCACCAATTTTTTTTGTTAATTATGTCTCTCTTTACATGAACATGCATAATTTTACATACTGTTCTGTTACAGACTACCCCATGGAAGATCCCTGTAGGGGCAGCAGCACCTAGGAGGGTACATGTAGGTTTCCTGACCCTCCATCATCTCCCCTGCGCTGCTGGTGACCCCTCAACTCTGGCCAAAATTTGGCTGCTAAAGAGAAGGAAGGGGATGTTCCTACAGTGCAGGTTCAATTCTCAATGGCAAAACCAGTCTAACAATTCCTGCTGGAGCTGAACCAGGCTGAAAAGGAGCAAAATTGTATGCATCCACCTCACAAAACCTTGTTCATTATCACAAAATCTTATTTTTGGGCTGCACTTTCAGGTGCTGGTCACATAACCTGCAATTGTACTTCCCACACCATGCTCACAGCACTCGAGGCAGGAACATTTCTTCCATTTGACAGTTGCATGAATGCACAAAGCACCGGCTCCTCCTCTGGAGGCAGGAAGATGCATAGACTCACCAAGAGCTCACAGTGAGGACCTTTCCCAAATGCCTCGAAAGCAAACGGTGCTGGGAAGGATCAATGCAGCGTGCCCAGAGCGACCGCGTGCTCCCGGTACACCTCCATCACCTCTCCACCCTGCTGCTGTCTACACAACAGCTCGGGCATTGCTCTCCTTTTCCTCTTCTCGGGTTTCTTATCATGGAGAAAGATAAAAAAAAAAAAAAAAAAAAAACTAGGCACCTTTCCAGTGCCCTCGGTCGAACAACCCCAGCCTGCAAAACCCTCGTTACAGCTGCTTGATGAAGCTCTCTTCCCTCATCACCCCTCTCTCTTCAGAGACCTTTGTTGGAAGCAGAGATTATTACATTTTTCATGCCAATTTCATTGAAAAAAAAAATCTGAAAGGAAAACTAATTGTGCTTTGTGATACTTAGGGAAATTAAGTCTTCAAGGAAATGTAATCTTCAGCTCTTTATTTGACTGCAAATGCGTTAATTTATTTAATTGTATCATCGATCAACACAGTACATATAATTATTACCACTGTATAATGGATTGGAAAAAATTTGCTGCCACTGCCTGTGTAATCAGATATGCTCTTGTTACTAATTTCTAAACAGTGGAGATGGAAAAAAATGACCTTCCAGGCTTAATTTCATGCCCTACTTCCTCAAAAATTAAACGGAAAGCGAGTGCACACAAAAACCAGCACAGATGTAGACTGCAAGGCTGGTAACATCTGCCTTATTTACTGCCCTCTCTGCCATTCATACAACTGAACTCATTTCCCCATCCTTTGATATTCCATTTCAAACAAAATCTTGAGCAGACCTCATCAAAACAATCCTCCGGGCATTCGATTTCCATTCCCTCTGTCTTGCAGGTACAAATTATTATTTCATTTTACATGTGCAGGGACACTGAAAGCCCTGAACAGGCACTAGAAGAAAAAGTATGAAATGGAATATTTAATGAAAGGCAGCAGCTGAGCTCTCCGAGAAATCAAAAGCTGCTGATCTTGAGGATTCATTGAAGGAATTTTTATTAATCTTATTACCCTAAAGAATTGCTTTATATATATATATTTCGAACAGCATCAAATCCTCACCCAAACAGACCCTACAGTGCACGCAACGCGCTCTGTGCTATTGATAGAGGGAATGCAGGATTTGTACGTGACTTTAAACAAGTCTGACAGAACGTGGCTCCATCCCTAGTCCATCAGTGGTTTATTGCCAGCATTTATTTATTAGAAGCATAAATCCAGCGTGGTAATGAGCACCTCTGGTTCCAGTTACAGCCAGGGGCTTTCTAAATGCTCACTAACAACTTGTGTCAGGGATGTGTGCGTCCTTCTGGCACCCCTCAGCACCCTCACAGAGCTACAGCTGTGCACACAGCAGTCAGGCCTCGGGGCCTGAAGTGAAATTCGCTCATTGAAGCATTCCTGAGGAACCCTGTGTGTGCTCCCAGCTGAGAAACAACAGGAACAGCACCCGGCAAATACAGGTGACAGCTTCTGTTGCAGCGCTGGGCATCATCCCCCCCTCACCCACCTGCTGAACAAGCAGGAATGTTTATGCACACACCACATATACAGTGAGGGGTGCTCAGCAAAGTATTTCCTGTGTCACATGTTCCTGTAAGGACTGATTCCTTTTTAAAAAGGTTACAAACACAGCATAAAGTTTGATTAAAAACAAAGCAAAATTATATACATGTTTATTTATGTTTTGTTTTTGTTTTTTTTTACTAAACAGACAGAACTGCATGTTTTAAAGTCAGATAGAATAAAAAAAATTGTCCTTTATGACAACATAATAGACAGGTTTTAACCTGATTTATATATCCTCAGGCAAAACACGTTTGCATCTGCCCATGTTCTGCGCTGGCTACGAGTTGCATGGTCAGTGAGCTGAACATCAAAATCCAAGCACATAAATCCTCCTGGGAGACGGGCTGACTACCTGCTGTCACACAACTCGCAGCTGTTGAGACCAGAGGCAGAGCTCAGTCCTGACCACTTCTCAATTAGACTGGTTATGCAAACCAACAAACTGATTTTTATCCACGAGACATGAGCACTGATGCTTTTAGAAATAAAGAGCCCCAAAATTTAAATCTGGTTTCCTTTTTCCTCCACCAGATATTACACAGAGTTCAAATGACAAACAGGAAACAATCACATCACAGGAATCTAAAATTACCACCAGTATCTGTGGCCTTGCTTCAGTCTGGTGTTACCTAACAACATGAAAAGCATGAAGTCTATTCCTGTTGTTCTTACTAACTTCAGTTTTAACCTGGTACATTTAAAAATCTCTCTCTTAGCTATACAGCAATGTGCCATTAGAGCAAGATTGTCTCACAGCAGCTCACCTGGTCTGTCCTCATTGCTGGGAACAAGGCATTTTGACAGAAGTCACCAAAGCAGTTGGATTATTTTAAAAGGCCACTCATTTCCTAGTTCGTGGAAGAAACTTCATTATGAACATGGAGTCAGGCTTTGTTTGTTCCTAGTAACAAACATTCTGAGGAGAAAGGTGCAGTGAATTGTGTAAAACATACAGGTGTGAACGAGAATCAAAACATACTTTTTTTTTTTTTTAATGAAAAACCAAAAAGGATGAGAATCCCTGTGGCAGGGACACTTATTTACTCACAATACTCCATTTTTAGGAGTGGCAAGTGAAATTCACCACGCAGACAGCTGATACAAAGCCCCTTTAGCTCTCTGCATGAACTGGCCGCCCTGTTTAAGCTCAGTCCTGCAGTCTGGGCAGGATTTCAGCAGGCCTGTGCTCAGTCCTGTCCTACAAGGGCCTGCCAGAGAGGATGGTGGTTACACAGCGCTTACAGCTCAGCCCTGCAACATGACGAAGCTGTGTCCATTTAGGGGGGGGGTTGGTGTTAAAGCAGATCTTCTGATGCTTTACATTTAATCCTAATACGAAGATCTAAAGATTGAGATTACAGCCTATTAAATTTTAAAAATATATACAGAGAGAATCCTTACGTAGTTCAAGAACACAATGGCAGGTCTTGAAAACATTTTCCAAAAAAAAAAAAATCAGTTTATTTTGGTGGGTCTGTGTTAATTCCGTATTTTTCCTTGAGAAGCTTAAGCTGTTCCTCTTTCTTCTTTGTGTCCATCTTCTGGAATGCCTGTGGTTAGGAAAATAAAAATAAAAGGTGTAAGAAGAAAATTTGAACCTTTTGGCGTGTTCATTGCCAGAAATGGCCACCAGTTATCACCACGGGTGACACTGGTCTCAGGAAGCTTAGAAAACACCAAGCACTCACCCTGTTTGCGTTGTAGTACAAAACGACAAGGTATCTGTTGCACACGTTGAACCCTGACAGATGATCACAGGCGTTTTTAGCGTCGAAGATGTCTTCATAGACTACGTAGGCTGTTCCTCTCGTTTCGGGAGTGTTCCCACTGCAGAGCAAGATCAGGGTGAATGTTAAACTAACTGAACAGGAAATTATTCTACTCGTGTTTAGCAGTGACTGAGATTGGATTAGCTCATGCAGCTTCACCACAGAATGATTATTGCGTTTGCTTGGCACTGAAATCTATCCCTGCTTCCTACACCAATCTTGGAATTCAGAGTCAGAAGCGGTAAGAAAGTGTAAAAGAGTCGTGGTGCTGTTGCTGTGAGGGGTTATCACATTTCGGCCAAGTTTTTGGAACAGCAGTTAGCTTGTTTTATTGAAGGTTATGGGATTGGGCTGTCTGCTAGTGGCTGCCCAGACCTGCTGCCTCCCAGGATGGGATGCTGTCCTTAGCACACCACAAACCAGCCGTGCTGTTCCAAGACCACTTCAGACACACAGCCACCGATCCAATTTCCTTTGCCTGAGGGACAGCAGACACGTCTGGGCCCATAACGCTAATGAGCTCAGAGAGCTGACAGAGCTCACGGGTCCCAGAGATCCCAGCTGGAACACAGCTACACTGACCTTTGTCAGCAGAACCCTTCCTAAGGCACTGACTTGTCAGAGAACTCCACCAAATGTCATCTCGCCTGTCTGTTCTGGGATGCGTACGCAAATGAAGAGGTGAACAGGTTAAAAACTGCACAAAGGGGCTAAGTTGTTACAAAGGGAGCTCCACAGCGCTTCCTGTCTCACAACAACGTCAGGATTTCTGAACACAGCACGAACCAGCAGTGCTGAACAATCAGCAGGCATGCTGCTAGCAGCTCCTGTCAGAAACACTTCAGCACATCTCCTGACACACCTGAATTCTTCATGGGCCGCTGTCACACCGCTCCAAACAACCCTTTTTCAGAAACCTCAGGTCTCCTTTCTGACTTAGGACCATAAGTGAACAATTCCACCTATTTAGCCAAGTAACAAATCTACGCTGTCCCTTGCTCCTTTAATCACTTCCCCAGTAACTTTTGTTGCTCAACTCTGTATGAGAAGGATCACATCAGACACATGTTCCAACCCAGCATTCAGGAGGACACCCCCACATTTCCCTCTGTTCCTGCTCATTTACTGAAGGCAATTCTGTGCATAACACTTTGTTCCTGTGCTGGTTTTACACAGCTGGGCAGCTGAGCTCCAGAACAACTCAAAAGGAAAGGGGAAGCAAATGTGATAGGAAGGACTCAGGGTTTGAAATAAGGACAGGGAGATCAATCAAGAGTTATTGTCATGGGCAAAATAAACTCAGCATAGGGAGAGTAACGCAATTTATTACCTATTACTAACAAGCTAAAGCAGCGAGAAACTAAAACACAAAACAAAACCACCTTCCTCCCCCCTCCCATCCACCCTCTTCCACCGTCTCCCTCCGAGTGGTACAGGGGAACAGGCAATGGGGCTTCAGTCAGTCCCTGACGCTTCATCTCCACCACTCCTTCAGGGTCCCTCTCTGCCCTTTCTCCAACATGGGGTCTCTCCCACGGGATGCCGGCCTTCCTGAACTGAGCCTGTGAGGGCTGCCCACAGGCAGCAGCTCTTCAAGAACTGCTCCCACACGGCTCTGTACCACAGGGTCCATCCCCCAGGAGCAAACTGCTCCAGCACGGGTCCCCCACAGCACCCCCAGACCCCCTGCTCCTGCATGGGCTCCTCTCCACGGGCTGCAGCTCCGGCCCGGGGCCTGCTCCTGCGGGGGCTCTCCATGGGCCGCAGCCTCCTCCAGGCCACATCCACCTGCTCCACCGGGGGCTCCTCCACGGGCTGCAGCGTGGAGATCTGCTCCATGTGGGACCCATGGGCTGCAGGGGGACAGCCTGCTCCACCAGGGGCCTCTCCATGGGCTACAGGGGAACTGCTGCTCGTGCCTGGAGCACCTCCTGCCTTCCTTCTGCACTGACCTGGGGGGCTGCAAGGGCTGCTACTCTCACATTTCTCACTCACTCCCAGTTGCTGTTGCACAGCAGTTTTTTTCCCTTCCTTAAATCTGCTCTCCCAGAGGTCCACAGAGGGTTGCTCATGGCTCAGTTCTGGCCAGCAGCAGATCCCATTTGGATGGACTCCTTTTTGTTCCCTCTGATCTGACATGGGGCAGCTGCTGGGCTCTGCTCACAGAGGCCACCCCTGCAGCCCCCCTGCTACCAAACCCTTGTCACGTAAGCCCAACGCAGTTCCTTACACTGAACAACCATTTTTCATCGCTATGGCTCTGACTGACATAAGCACTTTCATCTGGGGTAAAGTTTGGTCTGTTCAGCCGTTACCAACTTTACATCCTACATAACCCAACCAGTGAAACTCACTGTGGATTCAGTACCCACCCCACTCTCAGAGCATAAGAAACAAGACAGCAACATAAGCAAGGCCATGTTCTGCTCTGGTCCAACCAACAACCTACGCCAAAACTCAGAGATGCCACAAGTTATCTTGTCAACACCTGCACAAAGGCAGTATGAAAAAAACTTATCAAATAAAAACTATGTTTCCTTTCTATTTGTTCATCTAAAGAAGTATGACTGACAACGTTTTCTTTTTAAGTACTGAACATGAGCGCTAAGTTTGGTCACCTCCCCACTGCTTTCCAAATACTTAAGAGGGGGAAAAAAACAACATTTTGTCTGAATGTCAATACTGCAGCCAATCTTACTGCAGTTCTCAATAGCTAATCCCAAATTCCAGCTTCAACCCGACTCTTTTTGCCTACAGCTTATTAGAACACATTATTAACCAGATGAAATTATGGGTAAACCCACAGCAATTTGACAGTACTCTGGGTAACAAGGAACATCAGAGCTCAGGTCTTCGATATTCAAAGGAACTAAAAGGAACAAACTCAAACATGCTATAGAGAAGTACAACCTTAGTGCATTTAGAATGAAGTTATGGTCAGAGCTCTCTGATCCAAGGACTACAGCTTGAGGACAAGCTGGATCTGATAATGGTGCACTAGTTTTTGGTAGACATGTCCAGTACCAATAGCAACATCTTTACTTTTCCATTAGTTCACTGTCTAATACTCACTAAGCAGCAGAAGTGGTTGCTTACAACCCTTGCTTCTCACGTTTTTCCATTTATTTATAATAAATGTTTGAGCATTTAAAGTTGATTTAAATAAAAGTCCTTATTTTACCCCCTTATCTGCATTTACAGAAGGTTTAAGCTTTTCCAACTTATCTACCAGCAATATTCTTTCCTACAGAATTCACACAGAAGAGAAGCATCACCACCCTCCCCTTTGGCAAAGGGATGCTGCGAAAGTACATTCACCTTTTTAGCCGTAAAATCCAGTGGTCACCTACGGTAGTAGCAGCATTGACTTAGAACAGCTACGCCAAAGCCCATAAAGCCCTTAAAATCTCACAGAGAGCTAAACATACTCACACTCGGATCTGCCGAATAGGCCCGTATTTCCCAAAGATATCGTACATCTCCTCCGCGGTGATTTTATAGGGCAAGTTCCTGATGTATAAGATCCGGTTGACTTCTGGCGGCAGCCGGATCTGTTGGGGAAACAAGCCATGCGGTAACAGACTGAAAACATTCACTTCAAACCTTACATGTTACAATTTAAGTACTAAACCTCGCGCCTACGACAGCGGAGAGACTCCGCGTCCCTTTCTCCCCCTCAGCGGCTGTGCTTTTTGCCTACCGAGAGAGCAGCCCAGAGGGCCGACCCCCTCTCCCAGGGCCACCCCTCACCTCACACCCCTCCCGGGGCAGGGGAAAGCACTCACATTAGCTCGTTTGGCCGCTTGCATCGCCATGGCGCCGGCTGGAAGGGGGGCCTGAGGCCTGGCAGCGAGATGGCGGCGGGCAGCGCTCCTCCGGCCCCGCCGTTTACCTCAGAGAGGTGCCCGGATGCGATCCCAGCAGGCACCGCGCAGCGCACCGCAAATTGCGTAACGCCGGCAGCGCGCCGCAAAGGGCGTAACGCAAGGGGCTGTAACGAGAGTGGCGCACCGCAAAAGACGTAACGCAAGGGGCGTAACGCCAGCCACGAGACGCGAGAGACGTAACGCAAGGGGCGTACCGCTACGCTACTGGCGCTAGGAGCCGCGCGTTGCAGAGCGCGGGACCCCGCCCCCGGCCGCCTGAGGGGAGGGCGGCCATCTTAGCTCAGCCCCCCTGCCCTGGCAGGACCAGGGTTTGGGGAGCTCAGGAGAGCAATAAATGTGGTGTTTTGTTTTTTTCGCTCACGGGTTCAAGGCATAACGCTGGAGCTGCAATATTAATCTTTTTATTAAATGTGTCCTGCAAGGCTTTGCTTTATGCCCCCCTTTTTTTGAGTCCTTCCACAATAAAACATAAGAGTCCTTCCACAGAAACATGAGTCTTTTTTATTAAACATGTCTGTAAAGCTTTGCATTATGCCTCGATTTTTGAATCCTTCCACAGTGAATCATTCCAAAAACAGACAATGCAGAATCTCTGCTTTGACAACATCCGTAGTGCTCCTACCCATCGAGTAACTACAGCAGTAGTTTCATCTTCTTTTAAAGATGACACTTAAAAAAAAAAAAAAAAGAAGAACTTTAAGTTGAAACAGGCATTTCAATGACAATTTTGCCAATATTCCTGTTTTCTTCCATTGCCCTGTGTGCCTCCGCGATCTCATGCAGAGGGTAAACGCTGTCGACAAATGGCTGGAGACGAGGGGAGGCTCCTCGGGCAAAATACGGCAGCACGTTTTCTGTGAAGGCTTTCACCAGCTTTTCCTTATACTGAAGGAAAAATAAAAGTGTTTTGAAGATTATTTCTAGTCATTTCATTCCCAGAAGTATCTCTAAACACAGCATGCAAAATGTATACAATTCTCAGACATTTCATAGTGAGACAGACATAAACATCTGAAAGGTATAAGCTGCTAATGAAAAGAAAACTTATAGATGAACTATATTTTAACGGAATGAGCTTCTCCTCCAAAACAGGTGGTTTAAGCTCAGTGCAGAACCATTTAAAACTCAAACTGTTAAGGTCATTGAAAATATTATGTATTGGATTATGGACAGTCTATCCTCAAGCTCTACATTGGTGTCTTTTACTGTAATAGATGAGAAATTTCCACATAAAGTAGAATCAAACTTGGTCTTGATTGAGAAGTATATCTGTAGATGACCTAATGGAGGTTTTTGTACGTTGTCCCCCCCCAGACTTGATTGAGTCATCTGATCACTTGAGTTCTGTTTCTTAGAACAAACCTTTAAACTATGGTATTCATGAAGTATATTAAAAAGTCTTGGGTATCATACCTCTGTGGCAGTAGTTACAAAAGGGAAGCATCTCAGACAAGTAGAAAAGGGAAAATGTAACTTTTGCAATGTTTCTAAAGTATGTAGAGATAGTTCAAGGTGGTGCTTTTTTTCTCTAGTAATAATGCATTAGATTCTGTTTTAGTGCTAATAGCAAAAGAAGGACCCCAAAACTACCACAGATTTTAAGATCAAACTATATACACTGTTGATAATTACTACTTGCCTCCTTGTCTCGTGATCTTAATAGACTTGTATGAATGGTCCCTCTTTTGGAAAGCAGCCTTGCAAGCAAATCTCCATTTACATAACCTCCACTCAGTAGTCCATAAATAATCCACCGTCCATCAGTACTCAAACAGTTAAGGTTCTTCTCCCAGTAGGAGCCACCAACACAATCTAAAATAATATCTACGCCAGAACCTCAAGTAGAAACAGAAAAAAAATGGCAATTATAGTTGAGCTGCACTAAAGGTAGGGTAATTTCAGGTGAAACTAAAACCTTCTTCTCTGTAGGTACAGAATCAATCTTGCAATTCTTATTTAAATCCTTCTGCTGAAAATAGGAATTGGCACAATGATTTGTAAAGAATCCTAGCATCAGGCACGAAAAATGAATCATTATAGATAGCAGATACAAATCCTGTCATAAATTGTCTCAAATGCTTAAAAAGCTATTTTTTTTTCTATCTGTAAGAGAACTGTAAGAGTTTTTTGCCATAATCAGACACAAATACAAGTGCTACACTTCCTTATAGAAGCAACAATAATATCAGCACAATTTTTATGCCCCAAATAAACATAAAGCCAAAGGGAGCCCATGCAGAAAACAGAGCCCAATTAAACTAAGATACATTCTTGGGCTGAACAGGATAACAGGATCTTTACTGTCTGTTCCTTCATTAAGGTGATATCTTTCCTCCTTGATAAATCAACCCCTGATTAGAGAATTGCTATTCTCTAACCTGGGAGGTGATTTTTGCAAGTCCAGCTGCAATAAATCACTTCCAAGATAAAATGTAGTCTACAGTACTGAAAAGTGAGTTTAGGATAGGAAGAAGTGAACATTGCATAGAATTGAAATAGAGCAGGATTTAGTAACTCAGTATGGAAATTGGCCAGGAACTTATTTTGGGGAAATGGAAGGCATAAGATTTTCTGCATTCTCTTGCCAAAATCTGTTTAAGGCCCCATCCATAATAAAGCAGATTCAATACTGCTGGATTCCCATCCTGTTCAGCACCAAAGGGAACGTGAAAAATTTGCAGTGAATCATACCTGTCTGCAAAATTGGTCTCTTTGAAAAGATGATGAAGTCCCAGTTGAAACTGAGTGATGTGCATATGCTTTAGGAGGTACATATTCTTCCTCAACTGTGACTTCCACTCAGAGGTTCTTACCTTGGGTGAACGCCAAGACCTTTTCACTGAAGTCTTCATTTTTGTAGTCGAACCCTGCAGCTGCTCCAGCGTTTGCTGTCGCTTTGAGTTTCTCCTGAGTTCCTGCTGTCACGATGGGAATAGCATTTGCCAGTTTTACCAGCTGAATGGCTGCCATACCAACGCCACTAGCTCCAGCATGGATCAACACTCTCTCCCCCTTCTGTATTTTACCTGAACGAGGACATAAGGGAAATGATTCCCCTGTTGGCTTTATCAGTGGAGTAAAACATGATCAAGGTGGCAAATTCTGAATAGATGAAAATACTGAAAGCTGAAAGAGATGCCTAAACAAATCCAGAGTGAACAGAACTCACGGTGTACAAACAGGACTCCATTTTACTGACTTACTTGAAACGACTTTGACTGGGTCCTGTTCAGTGTAGAGCATCCATGACAAAGCTGCCAGGGTGAGAGCAGCAAGCCTTTTTATACTGGGACCATCCACTGCTGCTAGCTGAATGTTAATAATATTTGCTGAGTTAATACCAAGCACTTAGCAGTGGAGAAATGCTACACAGATGCTTTGTAATGTTAAGGACCAGTTCTGCCTATCATCTTACCATCTACACCTTGCCTTAATGCATTGGTTTGTTTCCTACTGATTGCTACTGGAAGTGGGACGCCTAATAATCATAATAATCATGGGGTCATCATCCTAATTGACTGCAGACCCCCAGGAAGCAACACTGCTCGAATCAAGTCTGAATTTGTGGTAGTGAGGGAAGATCCTTCTTTGTAACTCATGTTCTTTATTACAGCTTTTAAGTACTACTGCTGAAGAGGACAGAAGAAGGATATCTCTCAGCTGAAGAAAGCCCTGGGAAAGTGCTATTAGTAGTGCCTCTGTAGTACATTTTAAAAGTGAAGAGTGTAAGCTTATGTCTTTTTAAAATCAGCTCAGAGGGAATGTTTCCTACAACACCTCTGTGAAGCAAGGTACAAGAAGATGTTGTCTACTATCATTCCACAGGCAATGAGTGAGGAACATTCACGATATGGTCATGCTTGCAGTGAAGACAAATCTTTACAAGTAGGATTTGTATTCAGTTGTTTGCAGAACATGTAAGTCATTTCAGAGTTTAGGCTTACTGGAAATCATGATTCAAGCTGAGACACATAGATGAAAAGAAAAAACTGGCCAGCTTTCTGTATCCTTCCTTGTAAATATGTAGCCAACAGAGTATGTTGTGGTCAAGATTTCAGAATTTGGGTCTGGCCAGATAGGTAAAAGGCCCATGTGAATAGAGTGACAGAGAAAAGGGTTTTCAAAGGCAACCAGCATTCAGATGGGGGCAACAAAGAGAGCATTTAATAGCAGAAATGAAGGCGAGTTGTTTTGATGGAGCAGATTTGGAAATGCACCTCTCACCTACAAAATGCAGCAGCTGAAAGGCTGTTAGCCAAGCTTCAGGAATGGCTGCAGCCTGAATTAAAGTCATATCGTTTGGGGCTGGCATCAGGCAGCCTTCGGGTACCGTAACGTATTCTGCCTGGCCACCTCCGGAGAGCAGAGCCATCACTGCATCGCCAATCTTCCACTGGCCCTTGCAGCCAGGTCCAAGCCCAGCCACGCTTCCAGCTGCTTCCAAGCCTAAAATATCACTTGCTCCTTTGGGGGGAGGATACTTCCCTCTCCTCTAAAACAAAACAGAAGAGGGTAGGGAAGGAAAAGCCACACATCAATGAGTGTAATGACCTGCAAGATTTTATTTGCACGCCTCCTACCCAATTGTCTTTTTATTTCATCCTGATTTTGGACTATGTGTTTCAGCAATTTAAGGATCTTCTGTCCTTTGGCAATGCTTCTTGTTTCGTTACTAAGTCTGTTTTATTCTTAAAAACATAAATAAAAGCATTTACCTACTGAATCAAGAGACATCTCTTCTTTTAGCCCTATGAATGTTTCCTTTGAAGTCTCAGAAACAAATGCTTGCCAAGCTCGAGCTCTTTTAACTCTTCTGATTTGTAAAGACTTCAGATGTGGACTTGAATGTTGGTGTACTTTTCAGATACATAAAGCTGCTTAACTTACACATACCTGGAGTAAATCAGCCCTATTCAGAGCACTAGCGGAGACCTTCACAAGAACTTCTCCTTCTCCTGGATGTGGCTTCATCACTTCTTTCACATAGAGATTTTCTGGGCCTCCTGGGCAATCAAAATAGGCTGCCAACATTTTCTCTACAAATCTTCTCAGGCAGTTTCTGACCTCCTCGTTTTTGCCAGCAGCAAAATCAAATCTGGAGCAATCTCCCCTGGGTGGAAGCGTAAGAGGAGAAGAGAGAATCACAGTGGGAAAGTCCGTGGTATTTCCTATTCTTTGCAGTATATGAATGCCATGTAGGTCTGCTGCCCAAAGATGTGTGCAGGCAAACCAGGCTCTCTTCGAGGAAGAGGAATGTGGGACTGACCTCTGTAAAATCACTTGCACGATGACCTTAGTGCTTACTTAATCATTCGTTGCAAGGCTGGAGGTGTGGAATGATGAACTCCTCGAAACCCCAGGAACGTAAATCCCCACAGGGTGGTGCTCTATGGCTGTTGTATGCTGAATAAACAACTGCTACCAATTATCTGCATAAAATACAACTTTAATCCTTTTAATTCTTCGACTGGCTGGCTATTTGTTGTTTTCGGCTAAACTGCTCAATCCAGTCCCACAAAATTTGTCTGTATGAGCACAAAACTTCAGTGGGAAATCCACCCAATACCGCCCTGTAACAGGTCTTTTCCCCTCTTTATCTGTTCAAATGTAGTCAATTAAAAATCCCACGCTAAAGACATTTTTGTCCCTCTTTCACCAGTCCACTAACCTGCATTTGTCTGAATGCTTTGCTGCTAGAAGCAGCCCAACGCGAAATGACCAAAAAAAACCCTGTGTAGTGACGATATGAATACCTACGTTGCTTTCAAATGCACAGAGAAATGCACGAGTTGAGAACCGAGTTTCCGAGCACGACACCTTCAAGCTGTCAGATCTGCCCGCAGAGGTCTGGAACAAGTTTTAAGGGCTCCTGACCACGGTTTGGGACCCACCTTTTTGCTGTAAAGAAGGGAAGAGCTCCTCTGCAATGGCAACAGCCCTGACTGTCCCTGGGAGCAGAGTCTGATTTCCTCTTCTCCAGGCTCTGCAATCTGCCATTCCCCAGCAAGTCACGGGGTGGAATGGGACGAGGTTGTGTTTTCCTTGAAGGGAAAGACGTGAGCAGAGTCAGAAATACTGAAATATTTCACCAGTGTTTCTCCCCACGGACCTGGTTTATTCCACAGGTCGGGGCAGAAATCAGCTTTTCCCTTTGGCACCGAGGTGGAGATCGCACACACACCCCCAGCACGCAGGGAGGTTTGCTCTGGTGCTTTTACCCCACTGCTGGCAGAGCAGGGATCTGCAGGGTGCATGTTTGTAGCTTCCTGGGCAAAGCATTGAACCTCTGGACTCTGGATAGCTCAGACTGGATTTACCTGGGTTGCATTAAGGGCATGTTGAGCTGTGACAGCCCTCATGCTCTGTCTGTGGAGTCTTTTAGCATGCTCTCGTTCCTTTGAGACCACAGCATTTGCAGTTCTCTGGCTCGTCTGTCAGCCCGCGGCATTTCTACCTGCTGTTTCAGCTGCCTGATCTCACCTCTTGGCTGAGCTTTGCCATTTCTCATCGGGTTATGCCTTTCTCCATATCCTCACTGCCAGATCTTGAGTATTTGGGAGCTTTCAGGGAATGAAACTGACATTTCAAAGCATTTAAAAATGGTATCGTTTTTCATCTGGGTGCTCCTGTGTGGGATTCTTCTGTGGGTTTCTTTTCTTACTGATTTGGATATTTTGGGATTCAGACATTTCAACTTATACTTGACACTAAATTAATTTGGAAAATAATATAGCAAAAAAGACTGTGTTTTCACACAACTCTAAGAGCTAGTGGCTTAATTGTTTCTGCAGATGAGATCATGGGGCCTGGTCTTCCCGAACCTGGTCTTCATCTGGTGAAACAGCTCAGTTGTCTGAACAGTGAGGGGTTCACCCAAATGAGAATTATTTGATATCTTACAGCATAGACAATCTGATTATAGCCTGGTAGGAACATTGTTCCTCCTCCCCAGTCCTCACAGAACTTTGCAGTCTACTGCAGATTAAAATAACTTTCTATAACAGCCAGTGACAGAGAAAAATGATGTGAAAAATGCGTTTTATTTGTAATACTCAAGGGCATGCAGGGCAAACTGAAAATCTGTTAATGTAACAATTTCCGTAGTCCCTTGGGTCTGCGATGCTACATAGCTGAGAGAAATGCTCTGAGCGAAGTTACTTTGCTCAGGGAGATGAATAATGTGCTTATCTAGAAACGGGCTAAAAGACAACACTCAAAAGATTAAGGAAAGCATCCTAAACCCAATCTTGAGGACATCACTCAATTCTATTTAAAAACTTGGGTGATACACACATAAGGTAGTCCTCTTGGGAGCAGTGAACCTTCAAGAGTTCTTGAAATAAAAATGGGGAAACAGCCTTCACTCTGCAGTTGGAGTGTGGTAAAGCAGCAGGTGCTTGCTGGAGTTGGGTAACGCATCGAACATCTAGACTTATTTGCCTGGTGAGCAGTCCTTCTGAGCTCAATGAAGTTCATGGCTTCTGCTGAGTCAGCTGCCCTTGTCTCTAAAGTAGTCTGCTATAAGAATACAGGGAAAAAAAAAATAAGGAAAAAAAATCAATAAAATATGATTAAAATCATACACAGACTTGCTGTAATGGAGATACATTTTTTTTCAAGCTCAGATCCACCTCAGCCTCTAATCAGAAAAACAAATATCAGCATTTATAGCTGCACATTAAAAATAGTGGTGCATATATTCATGAGGTATTACTTATTCTACAGAATAAACACTGACCACTTTAAACCTAAGTCATTTGCAGAAATCTCTCTTAAGATGCAAAGAAAAGCTAATGCCATTTGTTTTCACAGAGAAATCATCCAGAACATCAAGAACTCCAAAAAATATGCATTGTCAAAACCATTGGAAATCTGGCCCTGGAAACATGTAGACCTTAGATTTTACTCAGGAAAACTGCTCTTGATCATAGCTTACAAATTATTGAAAAAAAAAAAAAAAAGATTTGATGAAGAATTTATTACTGATGGTCTTACAGCTCATTCCAGATTAAACAGCTTAGTCAAAACACAAATGATTTCCACTTACTTGTAGACACCTAAGTGAGGAACAAATGCTAGGAGAAAAATAGGTCTAGAATTTAATTACTATTCGGTGAAATGAAATGGGCACATCCATAGATTAAGATTGAACTTGTTTGTCCAAAAATATTCCTTAGAAATACCTCAGTCTCCACACTGAAAACCAGGGCTGCTGAGGCTGAGGCTATATCAGTACAGCTATCAGCTCTTGTGCATTTTATCCATCTGGATGATGTGACAGAATGATGGTATACTTGATATAGTCAGCCATATACTACAGCAGTGAGATGTGTAACTGTTATTTATCTCCCTGGTTTAATCCTTGCCAGCACCTCCTCCCAAAGAGAAAACTACGTTTGAGATGCTATCAGGATTCTGCAGTTTGTCTGCAAAGTTTTGCAATATTCTCAAATGGGAAACGCAGAGATGGTAAAATGAAGTCTTTAACACACTGAAGCCAAGAGAGAGAAACTTGAGAGGGCACACAAAGGAAACTTTAGCAGAAGAGGGAAGGAAATGGGCACTTGTTAGAGAAGAGGTACTTTGTGACACAAAACATGAGAGAGGAAACAAAACTTCATGACGTTTCAAGATTCACGTGTAGGAAAGGTGAGTAGGCAGAGAAAGAAAGTTTGAAACCCTTAGAGAGCAAAACTGGCTTTGAAGAAGCGGACTGTGAATCAGAATATCAAGGATAATGCCCAGAGGATGTGTGCAGAAGACACTGGGTCAGGATTAGTTGTATGAGTTCAATGAGACGTGACTGTCAGGTCCCACTGTGTTCAAGTGCAACTAACAGAAAACTTGTACCACAAAGGTCAAGGCCAGAGACCATTCTGCAACCTGTTCACACCCCCGGAGGCTTTGGAACACGTGTGATGTGATGAGTGAAGAGGGTTCAGCCATGCAGGAATAGCCCAAGTCTGTATTCAGTTGCCAAGGTTTTGGTAGTCTGTCAGATTAATTTTTTGAAGCTGTTTGTGAGAGCAGAGCCAGTCAGTGAAACACTGACATGCAGGCACACGAATGCATTTATTTATCTTACCGAGTTTCTCTACAGCTTCCACGCACACGCTGGGATACATGCCCACCTTGTAAGTAGCAATTAGGATGAAAGCATTGGTCTTCACAGCTATCAGGCCTCCATCTGGCTGGATAATACAGAAAAATGGCACAAGGTTCTCAAAAAATACACGTGCATGCATATTGCCTCACAATTTAGGCTAATTACAGACCTTTTTGCTCAAATACTCTCTCAAAGCCTAAGCCATGATGCAGACAACACACGTCCATGAGTGTTTTGAAGACTTCTGGCTATTAAAGCAAATCACTCAAATGCTTTTTTGTATCGCCTATCCTCACTTCCAATGATTGATGTGTTATTGCACAGCATTTTGAAGAAGTTTTACTGTAACGCTCAGTCATATGTAGAAGCATTAATAAGTGCAAGTGCAATAGGTATTTACATGAAAGCACGTAAGTTTTTATGAACCCTACATCCCAAACTCCACCCCACTGATTTGTAAGAATGACTGAAAAAAAGACACTGAGAAGTACTGCATGTTTTCTGAACTGGGGTCCAAATTTAAAACCAGCTCAGCCTTTTCTGCAGGTTCCTCAGCTTGCTTCAGCATCCCACAAGGTAAGCTGATCTAACAGCTCTGGCGAACAGGCACTGCAGCTGGTGTTAGGGGTTCGTGGTGGACATGCAGGGATGTAAATATTCACATATATGCACACAAGCAGGGACCATTTAGCGCCAGGGAAACACCAGAACAGTTCAAAGGAGGAACACTTAACTGAAAGCGAAAGGCAGCTAGTATATAGACTAACCATGGGGGCTATACTTCTAATTCCGATGCAACTATTGAGGGACAGAGTATAAGTGCTCCACTGAAATATGGCCACCAGTGTCACTAAAATTGCATCCTCCAAGCATCCTGCCCAAGTTTTACATCTCCATTTGCCCACAGCTGAAAAGAGAGAGCTCACAACGATGCAGCTTAATGCCTTGCTTGCTCTAAAGGCACATGGTAAAGGAAAAGCATGGGTAAAGTGGTTGTGCCAGGAAAAGCATGGGTGAAACCTTCTCTTGTTGAAAAATAAATAATAATTTATTTATTACCAAAAAATAATCGATGAAAAATAAATAATGGTGCTACCCATTTAATTCCACTGCTGGAAAGGTGATGTTAAGAGAGAGAAGAAAAGAAGCATGTGAAGGCTTTCAGCTCGTGTTAAGGTATTCATGTCACCAGACAGTGAAAGAAAAAGGATGTTTCCAAAGGTTTCAGGACTGCCATAGCTCTTGTCAACGTACGTTTTTAAGATAGATGGAATCCTCATCTGCTCGGACACATTTATAGTGCTTCTGCTTGAAGTAGAGTCCTTCCCTTCTGACTTGCATTAAATTATTGTAGAAAGTGTAGATCAGGTTTATGGCATTCTCTGGTGGCACCTATGTTCAAACAGCACAGTGTTATGGACCGAAAGGGTACGTCTTTGCAGGGATGAACAGTTCTCCACCCTCCCACTTTCTTTGATAGTTCCCTTAAAATTAATATATTTTTGAGTTGAAAAAAAAATCAAAATTGATCCTACTTTCTATAGAGTCCGCTGAATTTCTAACATCTCATTTGAAACAATCTGCTCAATCTATGGGTACTATCTGTGCAGTCCCACTACTCACCAACACTTCTCTAGGGAATTGATACACCCAGTGGTGACTGGAGCCCTCTGTTAAAAGGCAATGAAGGGTAGGACTCAGCCTTATCATGTTATACAATACAAGCAGAAGTGCTGTTATTCTGCGCTGTTTATCACCTGATAGACAGTAAAAACAGATAAACTACATCCGTAATAGAAAGCTAGAAGTGTCAAGGAGCACTTCTGGGTACTGTTATAACAGTCTAGCTACAGATTTGGCCAGGGCCAGCAATTCACAGGCACAGCCTGGAAAATGAGAATGAGTCAGGACTGCTCCCCAGAAGCAACTTGGTCGAGCCTCTGTTTCAGGGTCATAGTATGGACACGGCCATGCCACAGCAGCATGTCTCAGTGTCAGCACACGGACATAAGAACATCTGCTTTACAAGCACGGGGGGGGATCACTGAGTGCAAGTGCTTAAAAACAACCCCTTGAAAATGCCAGTTAACTGGCATCTTTCTTCCAAAGATCAAAGGTGTGAAATTAGCAATCAGCTTCAGAAGATGGCTCTCAGAGCAGCAGCTAGGCTGTACCCATTTAGCTCAAGCTCTGAGGCTGAAAGAAGCTGCCGGTCCCTTTAGTATAGCGCAGAACTCCCTGACATGATCACTACTTTGTGCTCTGGATTCCCGGAGTTTCTACCACTGCTGCCACTTCCCAGGACACTCTTTCATCACTTACATAAAAGCCAGAGGTTGATGCACAGACTTTTCTTTCATTTATGTTGATAATAGCTGCATTTTCCACGTGCTTTGTTCTGATAAGACCGTCATTCAACAAAGCCTGAAGTTGGCTCATTTTCCATCTGTTCTGTGGAAAGAAAAAGATGTATAAATGTTCGTTCTCCTCCCCTCTTAGATTGGAAACGAGTTCTTTCTCCAGGGAGAATTTAGGGATTTAGGCAGAAGTAATGCTAAGCCTCAGATAAGAAAAATAACAATATTAAAAATCCTAAAAACCAGAGAACAGCAGAACACTAAGGAATGAGATAAAACTTGCTGCAGCCAGCAGATCAGAGCAGAAATTGGGGTGTGAAGTATTGGTTGCTGGGCCTGAAACAAACACCATTTTCTTTTAAATGCTCAGCACTAGCATGGCAGTTGTTAGACCTTTGGGTCTGTGCAGCTCCACGAGGATGCTTTTTAGAAGTAAACCCTACATTTATCTCATGATAGTATATCTCTGGCTGTCTGCATAAGCAGCAACAGTCTCAGAATCATTGAATCATACAATGGTTTGGGTTGGAAGGGACTTTAAAGATTGCCTAATTCCAACCCCCTGCCATGGCAGGGACACCTCCCACCAGCCCAGGTTGCCCAAAGCCCCATCCAGCCTGGCCCTGAGCACCTCCAGGGATGGGGCACCCACAGCTCCTCTGGGCAGCCTCATCCAGTGCCTCACCACCCTCAGAGTAAAGAATTTCCCCCTTATAACTAATCTAAATCTCCTCTAGATTTAGAAAACCCTCTAGATTTATTTACTTTTTAACGCGAGGGTGGTGGAAATGAGGTATCACAATCAAGGAGAGCTGTCAGGCTTATCAGTTAGCGTAGCCAACAGCCTGCCACAGGGACATCGGGCCAGCAATTATGAATCATTTTTGAGCACTTTATTAATAATTTTTGAGCAGTGAGGAAGCATTTGACTTTAAAACCAAGAATGCGTGAGGGGCATGTACCCCTCCAGGGGCCTTGGCTGACAGGAGGCAGCGCCCCTCGCCCGCCTTCCCCGCCGAGCTGTTGCCATGGCAACCGCGCCCTGACCGTCCCCTACCCGGCTCCTGATTGGCTCAGCCGGCGGGGCGCTCCCTTTCTGATTGGTTGAGAGCGGCCACCCCGTGTCGGCGGGGAGCCGGGTTGGCGTTGCCGCGGGCTGTGAGGGCGGTGGGCGCGGAGGGATCCGGCTGCTCCTCGGTCTCGCCTCACCTCGCTCCAGCCGGGAATGCTGCCGGTGGGTGCCTGCCCTGGGGCCGGCGAACCGAGCCGCTGCCCGTGCGGGGGGTCCCACCTCTTCCGAGAGGCGGGAGGTAGTGGGGAGGGACTATTTCCTCAGGCGGAAGGACTCGGGTAGGGGGATGTGTGTGAGGCGGCTCTGAGGTGCGAAGGGCGCCGCCATTTTCCTACCGGACTGGCGCCGTGGTTTTGCCCTGAGGCGCGGTCATGGCTGCTGACCTCGCCTCCTCTGGCGGCTGCCCAGAGCTTCCCTGGGGCTGGTGAGGGGATCCCAGCTTGGGGGTCACCCCTATGAGGCCGGTGAGGGGTTCCCCACTCCGGGATGCCCTGGTGAGGGGGGCTCGGGGCACTGCTGTCCTGCTCTGGCTTTGCCTCAGGCTTTAGGCTTTGCCTCAGGGCCCGGGAGGCTGCAGGGCAGGGTGTGCTGGGACCCGGTTCTGCCCTTGTGGCCCTGAGGGGACCCTGGTGTTCTCAGTTACTGATGTCCCCAGGCAGTGGAGGGACCAGGTGGTGGAGGTGCTCTCCAGATGCCTGCACAGTATCAGTTGTAATGCTTTTCCTTCTGTCACAAACCAGCAGTCTGGGTTGTCTGCCCAAAACTGGCAAGGTTTCAAATCATGTCAAAATGCCAGATGCACTAAATCTCATTCACAGTCTACCAGGTCCTGTTTGTAGGCTTGTGCCCAGTTTGCCTCAGAGGCTGATGTTCCCCTGCTGCTCTCCTCCTCCAGGCACCTGAAGGAATAAGGGGGGGGCAGAGCCACCAGGAGAGGTGCCCAGCTGTGCTTGCAGGGGGTGACATCCCTGTGTGATGAGGAGAGGGGAATATGTGTAAAAGATCTCTTAAGAAATAGCAGCTGATCATTTTGTGTATGTTGGATGCGTAATGAGCTGGTTTTACTCCAAGTACTCAGTACTTTTTTTTTTTTTTTCCTGCTATTTGCAGTGGGACAGCTCTTTCCCTTGGAGACGAGCATTCCCTTCCTTTTTGTACTTCACAGCTCAACAGCATGACTTGGTCTTAAAAAAAAAAAATTAGCATGCTCGTTACATCACTTTAGAATTAACTAAAAATTACAATGCTATAAATCTTTATTAAAATTGCTGGAGGCCTGATGAGAAACAGAAGATTTTGAAGGAAACCCTTTTGGAAAATTTCGTATGCATTAAATACTGGTCCTCACGCTAGTATGCTCTAATGCATGAAAGTTTCTTTAATTTAAACAGCATTTCTGTTATGGGAGAAAAAAATTTACATGAACATGGTGGATTTTTACTTAGCAATTTTACTATTTCTTCTGCCTGTAAGGATTTTTTCTCTACACACAAGCAACAGAAGTAATCTTGCTTTGCTTTTTATTCCTGTTAAGCATGGTAATTGCACGTTAGGTAATAAGTTGAAGTGTAAGTTGTACTTAATAAGTTAAGTGTGGTTGGACTTGATCTTGAAGGTCATTTCCAACCTTTAAGATTCTGTGGTTCTGTGTGAGCCTGCAGGGCAGCTTCTCTTAATGGCTTTTGTCAGAACAGGGGCTTTTGAGAGGACTGAGGCATGTGTGTAAGGATCCTTACCTTTTCTCACAGAAGTGATTAATCTGTCTTCCAAAAGTTTCTGCAAAAACCTGTGTTTAGGCAGAGCCTGTGTGTGGATTGGAGCACGTGGGAGAACATTCTGTGCTGCTAAACAGAACTCATGAAGCAAGAGAAACCTTTAAAAAATGATTTTTAATCCTGCTGACAGCAAACCGCAATGCATGTGTATCCAGCAATCATTTTAGTTAGTCAGAGATATTCCCAGGTCTGATCATAATAGAGCAAGCTTTTATTTTGAGCTGCTTTTTGCCTAAATAATTCTGTAAATACATCATTTCCTGGAAGCACGGCCTCTCCAGTAAATCTGAAATAAGTAGCATTTTAAATAGGAATTCCCGTAAAGGCTATTTTATCTCCATGTTTCTCCTGTCTCCGTTATAAATCAATCCAAATGTACTGGTAAACATGTAATAGGGGAGATGGAATTTCCTGCTTGGTATCAGTTAGTACTTTAGTGTAAGCTTCATCTGTCAGAACTTTAAAAACCACGAAAATACAGCTATCCCTTTGGTGGAACGTCGTGGTTATTGGAAATCACTTTTACATAATTGAAAAAAGCACAAAGGATAGAAGTAAAAGGAGGTGGAATTTGATGACTGAAACGTTTTCAAAGCTGGCAAGCATTCTGGAGTAATTTGTGAATCACTTTGTGTCTTGAAACAAAATTTACTGCCCATTTATCATGGAGATGAGAAGAGACAGTTCCTATCAGAGGGAGTATCTGGCTATAAACTCGATACTTCGTCTCCCTCCGTTTAACTTACTGTGATACAAAACCACTGTTGGCGTGGGCTGGCAGCAGGTAGAGTTCCTTTGGAGATTTGTAACATCATTTGTCTGGAATGCTAAGGAAATCAGCTTCTTCATGTTTATACAGTATTTTTATATATTTCTGAATGTTTTCATGCTTCTCCCAGACTCATCCGACAATGTGTGCTGTGAGTAGCCCAGAGACTCCCTGGCAGCAGAGGCCGAAGTGCCCCAGCTGTGTAACGGAACAGGAGCAGCAGAAGCTGTGGCAGGTGAGTGATTTTCTGCCTGCCTTCAGCTGTAAGTTCGTCTGTGAAGAACCAGAGTTCAGGACACATGAAACGAGGACCTGCAATTGGGAACGCAGGACATGTGGGTGTAGTTGAGTTCTTGTCTTGGAAACAGCACCTGATACCCCCTGAAGTTCTAGCCTGCCACCTCGCCTGTCCTTCTGCTTGCCAGGGCTGGCACTAGCATCTGCCTGAATCCATTAGAGTCCCACTTAGCAGCAACATTCCTGTGCTTTTGTCTCTCCCTCCTAGGCGTGCTCAGAAACGTGTCTCACAGGAAAATGCATGTGCTCTGTCCTTTCAGCATCCAAGTCCTGTGTGAACCTTCCAGAGAAATCCCCAAATTTAATGCTGGTCAGCAGCACCAAATTCAGAAATGCTATTGCAGCCTGTCTTAGGTACGCATGACTAGGCTGCAGACTCAGTAAGTGGCGGTTTGATATTACAAGAGCTGCTTCAATTGACTGCAGAATTGAACCTAGAGCTATGTTTATTTGAAGAAGAGTGTCCAAACCATTCAAATCGTTGCTCTAAATCAGGATATCCTGATCTCCATTGCTTCTGTTCCACGTGTGTGGAATGTTCTTCCCCGGTCGTGAAGCTTCCTGCGAACGGCTGCAGGATGCTTTGTTCCTGCAGAGGAATGATGCTGTTTGCAGGGCACTGTGGTCTGAAGAGTGTAGGTGAACTTTTGGTTATATTCCAGTTTGTAGCTTGGTCATGGATCCTAGATAAGAACCTGATCTCTACAAAGCAGGTTGATTTTTTATGCAGACCTTTCCCTTTGTTTTTTTTAATTTATCCAGAGGTTCCCCTCAGCCCCAGCAAGGAGCAATGCAGCGAACACTTTTGACTGCAGCAGATTCTTTGGGAAGAAGAATGCCACCAAATATTGGCTGACACAGAAGGGCTTACGTCACGTGAAGGTACGAGTGGAGGAATGAGGTAGAATGGAAAGTACGAAGGGAGGAATGGAAAAGGGTTGTTTGCAAGGTTCTGTCAGTCTCAGATATCTCTGTCATTGGGAAGCAGAACAAAGAACTCTGAAAATAGTAACCTGGGGGGGGTTATCAAGCCCTTATCTCCCTGTGAGGTAGCTTTATTGAGTTCCATCTGATTCAGTTTGCTGGAAGTTTCCACATGAAACCTAACCAAGCTTGGGCCTAGCTCTGTGCAGGTGCTTCAGAGCTGTGTCACCCTGAAGGCAGAGTTCCCACCTGCTCCCAGTGCTCTGAGCGCGTTCTGCTGATGTTCTGCTCATGGGGAGATGCCTGGGCCTGCCTGGTTTTAGAAAGCTGCTGTGATTAAGTGATGCAGATATGTCAGATGGAACATAACATGCAACTTTTTGCAGATATTAGAATGAAAGGGCCTTAATACACACCAGAAATTCAGATTTCTCCCTTTTTTTTGATGGTCCTTGCCAGTTCCTGCCCTGTCCTCCCTGCCTTGCTTCAAGGACTGTGTCCACAAACGATAGATGAATTTGGTCTGTATTGCCTGTGCTCCTTCACTAGGTGCCGGAGTTGCAATTAATAAGCTGGACGGTGCAATAAATTACCTATTGTCATGGTTTAACCTGGCCGGCAGCCAAACACCACGCAGCCGTTCGCTCATCCTCCCCCATCCCTCTCTGGGACGGGGGAGAGAAATGGAAAGTTAAGCCCGTGAATTGAGATAAAGACAGTTTAATAAGACAGGAAAATAATAATAACATAATAATAATAATACAACGATGACAATAGTACTACCACTAATAATATGTACAAACAAGTGATGCACAATGCAATTGCTCACCACTCGCTGACCGATGCTCAGCCTAACCCCGAGCAGTCCGGCCCCCTCCCCCCGGCTAGCCACCCCTATATATTGTTTAGCATGACGTCAGATGGTATGGAATACCCCTTTGGCTAGTTTGGGTCACCTGTCCTGGGTCTGTCCCCTCCCAGCTCTTACTGCACCCCCAGCCTGCCCGTTGGCAGGACAGAGCAAGAAACTGAGATGTCCTTGGCTTAGTATAAGCACTGCTCTGCAACAATTAAAACATTGGGGTGTTATCAGCACTCTTCTCATCCTAAGCCAAAACACAGCATTCCACCAGCTACTAGGAAGAAAATTAATTCTGTTCTAACTGAAACCAGGACACCTATTTACAAATCAGGTTGACAACAGCAGAGCATTTCAAGGGCTGTTGTTCTCAAACCATATTTTAGTATCCTAGCACTCATGATCTGCAGAAAGAGTAAGATGAGGGTGATGCTAGAGGAGAGCTTGGCTGATGTCCCAAAAGTCACTGAGATTTAAGATGCAGGCAAATTTATGAGCAAGGCAGAAACAAGACAGTTTCCTGCTTTGGAAGTCTTTTTCTTGTTACCTTTCTTCTTCCACCTGTTCTCCTTCGTGGAACTCCTGCACTCCCAAAACGCTGCTGCTGCCACATTGAATCCAGCTCCTCACAGCAAGGCCCCCTGGCTGTGTTTCTGCTGCCTGCCTTTCATCACAGCACAAGTAGTTATTTTGAATTCAAAGGGAGCTCTCACTCCTGCTTTTACTTCTTGTGTTTTGTTGGCGTTTTGTCAGGCAGCCCCTGATGAAAGTAGAGGCATCATCGCTTCTGCTCAAGCCATCTTGGACAGAGAAAATTATTTTGTGAGGGTAAGAAGTGATTTGTCTTTTCTCACTTGCTGTGTGCTTTCCTGCATGTCAAAAATTTTCTCTTCATCAGTGAACTGTGATAAAATATCGATTATCTGTATTCTTGGAAAGTTAAATTTAGAAGCACAGGATGGGACTGAAGTGGTAACACCTGAAATAAGAGTTTGAGAATCCTCTCTCTTTAGTGACTTAGCTTTTATTTTGGGGGTGGGGCCTCTGAGTAAAGGCCACAAGGGCTGACCTGATCTAGCAGACTGCCCCTGCTGGAGGAGATCTCCTTCTCCCACTGCCTCTCTTGCACTGTCTGGTGCTTATCAGCCCCCCACGCTGAACAGATTTCAGCTCACTAACCTGGGGTGAAAAAAGTGACTAGTTCTTAGTGTTGCACTACAGCTTAAAAAAAAGAAAAAGAGTGCAAAGAAGAGCTTGGAAGAGGAAAGAGGGAGGAGCAGAAAGGAGGATGGAGAGCAGGGCAGCAGTGCCCAGTCAGATCTGATTAGCCAGGCTGTGCAGCCACCCCCAGGGACTCATTAACATGTTGGGCCAACGCGCTGTATGGGTTTTATTTTCCATCTTTCACTTAGGAGGTGGACAGGTATTTGAGGCACAATGATTTCTTAAATCTGAGGAAGAAGGAGATCCTCTACAAGAAATGGCTTGAGGATGTTTCAGAGCCGCTGCTGCAGAAAATCGAGGACAAGATGGGCAGCCAGTCGAGTGACGAAATAGAGAAACGGAAGGAAGAACAGCTCGCCCTCTATTTAAACTACTGCAAAAAGAAGGTATCGAGAAGTAAATTTCTGTCATAGAAGCAGTTGCTTGTAGAGGGCTGTGAAACATATTTGTGCCTTTGGGTGCTACCGGTCAAGCTTTATAAAAGGAAAAAAGCTGGGAGCAGACACCAGCAGTTTCCTTCCGTGTGCATGTGGGTGAACAGTCCCAGCAGGTGGGTGCTGTTGCACAGTGCTCAGCACTCACAGGAATCACAATGGCTGTATGAAATACTTGTGTCGCTCTGAATTTCTCATCCCTGTTTACCAGATTCCGTGGCTCAGCTGCCTGCATCTTGGGATGGCACGCCTAGAGTAAGAGCGGTTAGATATCTCCCAGGGACAGAGCAGGTTTATATACAGGGCATGCTTTTGTTGTCAATGGAAACCGCTGCACAGCGGATTTATGTGGCTGTAAACAAGCTTTTACAGTCCAGAAACGAAAACCCTGGGGGAGCTGTGGTGTTTTAATGACAGCAGATGGTTTATTTTTTCGAAAGCCTGATGTGAAAGCCCCATGCATTTAAACTGCACTTAATGACCACGGGCTGGATCAGTCCTACTCCCGAGGTCCTGGCGTTTAGGATACATTGGGTGTGCGCTGTCCTTATCTCGGTCTGCATCAGCCCATCCCAAAGCTGCTGTGCCCGGTCAGGGTGCCCTCCAAAAGCCATGGCTGGCGCCCTGGGACATGCTCTTCTCCCCAAACAGCACCAGTGATAAACCTCCAGTCTCTTTTTTCTCTCTTCCCTCTTCCTCCTTTTGCTCCCTCCTCCACGTCTCCCACCACTTTGCCTCTTTCTTCTGTCCGACTCCCCAGTGCAGTCTCTTGGCTTTCTTCCTGCTGTGTGCTCCCTCAGGGGACTGCCAGGCTCCAGGGAGCTCAAACCCTGTGGCACTGCCCAGGCACTTGCTGAGGGTCTGGGAGCAGCACAGGCTCTTGGGGCCTTGTTCCTGAAGGCCGCCATCAACACAGCCCTCTCTTCACTCACTGTAGCTCCCATTTTTGGGGTCTGAATGTGTGGTGCAGCACTCTCGAACTGTTCAAAGTGTGGGGTTTCCAACTCTGAGCTTGAAATCACAACCACCAGCCTCCAGAAAGAACTATACAAGGCTGATACCTCGATGGGCTGGATGCTCCCTCCTTGCTCAGGCCCCTGGAGAACTGTGTCCACAGGAAAGCTGGAAACGTTCATCTGAAGGAAAAATGAGGCTGGTGGGAGCTTGGTCACCTTTTTTTCTTGTTAAGATGTTTCCTTCTCTTACCAAAACCTTTCTCCTTGAACAGAATTTCTATTACCTAGCCTGCCCTAGTAGCGATTATCATTTTAGACTATATTTATTTCTGTATGCTTTGTGAGAGCACTTCTAACGTGTTTATGCCTGTAATAAATTAAATTTGGTGTAGGTATTTTCCTGCTGCGCTTCAGTCACCTTCCTTCTGAGGCACAGTGTGTGAAAATTAGGAAACCCTTTTTATTTTTTTACTGCCTCCAATGTGTTGCTTTTGTGCTATGCTCTGTGCTATCCCCAAAAGCTTCTGAGACCTGACCCTCTACCCACTTCTCCTGCAGGGCTATGTGGCTTTGGAAACTTATGACCCGGCGGAGTACGACCCGTTCCTCCTGCAGAGAAGCACAGAGTGCTGGAAGGTGCCGTGCTTGGTTAGCCCTGGGTTTAGGTGCACCCTGTAACCGCAGGAGGTTAATGTTAAAGAGGAGGCAGCGTGTTCCTGGCTTGCTGCTCTGAGGCTGGCTGAACAAATGTGTTTCTCGAGAGGCAGCACAACAGTTAGAGTGGATAAGGTCTCTCTTATTTGGCTACCTAGTAAAGGATTTGCTAAAACATCAATTTTATGGTGCCAGCTCCCACTGTATTTAAATCCAAGAGCGCCTGAAAATGATTTTCACTGGGAACACGGTGTGAATCCACACTACTTGTATGTCAATTATTAGGTTGATTCTCCTCTGTGCTAACCTTGAAGCTCACATTTGCCTGACTTTGAGACAAAATCCTTGCAATCCTCACCTCCCTCACAGGTTTCAATACCAGCCTTACAGGACCCTCTGTTAGAAGCCATTCAGCGAAAGTTTGTTGAGACAGGCATTGTCAAGCAGTGCGAGACAGGTACCTTAAATGATCGGTGTTCCTTGGAAGCACTTTCTGGCACCTTCCTCAGGGCAGCAGGTGCTCACATGAAGCATTTCTTTCCGTCAGGCAGGCTGTGCTCAGCCAGAGAGGTGAACGAGCTCAGTAAGGCAGAACCGCCGCTGCTTCCTCTGAGCCGGCAGCGCATGGATGCCGTGGCCTGGCTGAAGATCCCTCCGCTCTACATTGCAAGCGAGGCCCACCGGACCAGGAGGTGAGAGCTAATGTGTGTCTTGAGAGGCAGCACAACAGTTACAGCGGGTAAGGTCTCTCCTGTTTGGCTAAAACTGAAATTTTATGTTGAATTCTGCGTTATTCTGAATTTCTCATGAGAAGGGAGCATCGGTGGAGGGAAAGCCCTCAGGCATGGATTGGACAGCAGGGTATATTAACGTAGAGCACTGCTGGTCAAGTGAAAGTAAGTGGCTTTAGGGGAAGATTTCCTGTGTTCCCTGTATGCAGCCTGGAACCAGCCCTAGAGTTCAAGCCATGGAACACCTTCTGGATGCTTCACTGCAAGATCTGAAAAGATTTAATGTTCTGTAGTGGTTTTTATAACTATTACTTTCTAGATTTTGGGAGCAGAGTAGGGTCATATTTGTGTCACAGAGCAGCTGAGGTTGGAAGGGACCTCTGGGCTCAAAATACACCAGAGCTCACTTATGCTTTGAGGATATGATACAAGACAGAAAATGAATTGCCAAACAGTCCCTGGGTATGTGCTTGTACTGGAGCACTCACCACCTGGCTTCCCTGGGGTATTCTAGCTACAGCTGAAGGCTGTTCAGAAAATGGGGCTGCAGCAGCTCTCAGCTTTTGTAGCTCTGAGCTGGAGAAACACAGAGAGAGAGAGAGAGAGAGAGAGAAACATTTGGGATCAGGGAAGAGTGATTTTTTTTCTAATTTTAGTTGCTGACTTTTTTTCATCCCATGTCCCAGTGCTCTGGTTTCCCCCTTTCTGAAAGCCCTCTGGCTCTGCCATCACAGTGCAACACTGAAAGGCAGTTTGCTCCCCGGTGACAAGAAGAGCCGAGCTCACTGGGGAGCGGATGCCCTCCCAGAGCCAGGCCCGCTCTCTCCTCTCCGCCCCTGCCCTGGAGTTTTATGCCCAAGGCCTTCTCCGGTGTAATGCTTGGAGCAATTACAGGCTAACGGCAAGTTCCAGAAGGAAAACCAATCACAAGGACAAACATTTCCTGGAGTGACTCAGTGTGGCAGAGAGGTAGTGCAGGAAGCTGTGCTGTGCTCTGCAGCCTTAGCCCTGAGCGAGCTGCCGACGGTTTGTGTTTGTGTTCACAGGCTGCGAGTCGTGGAGCACCACACAGACAGCAAGAGCTGATGGCACCGGTCCTCCAGCTGACTGCCGCGGCAAGCAGGGCCATCAGAAGGTGCCATGTGAAAATGTGCATTATGTCTGCCAAAGCAAGTGGTAGCAGGCCAGGTCTCCCCAAAACCTGCAATAAACTCATTGTCTGAAACGTCTGCTTCTGAACTACTGTTACCAGCAGCCAAAGGAAGGTAGGAGATGTTGCTCCCATCATTTCCAGTTTCGTGTTATCCCCACGTCTGGCTCTAGCTACAGCTCCCGAGCCTGACGCATTTCATGTTACCAGAACTGGGAATATCAGCAGTGTGCACAGGGAATGGCAAAGCCTGCACTTAGCTTCAGCTGCGGCCGTTTTGCACGGAGCTGAAAGAGGTCTCCTGGGGTGGTAAGAACAAGCTCCCTGGGAACAAGAAGGAGGTGCTCCTGCTGATGTGCATGGTTTGCACGAGTGTGCAACAGAGCTGCTTAGAAAGCACTGAGAAGGCTATTACGGGCCCAACAGCGTAGCATGGTGTCTGCTGTGGTCCTTGTCTCCCTGCTGCTGTGGCTGCACAGGCGCTCTGGTGGCAAGGCCTGAGCACAGAAGCAGCTCCAGTCTCCCACCGTACAGACACAGTCTATCAAGGGTTGCCAAGATTTAGTTTTATTTAGGATTAGAAATACTGAACCACAGAAAACTGTTAAAAGTAACAGAGGTTTACTCAGCCCTGTAACGGGGGGGACACAGATGGCAGTCAAGTGTGGATCTGTCGACATTGGGAGGTATTGCAGCACCCATGGAAAACAAGGGCATGCACTATCCAGAACTGCATGCTGTGCTTTTTCAACAAAGCAGTTAAAGGAGGCAGTAAATGGTTACAAAGTATCAAATCCTTTACATACTTTTTTTCCAATCAGCCCAGGTTTTGGTGCCAAGAGAAAGTTTTTGCTTTCAAGCCGTCTCATTTTACAGACTCCCGTTGGGCTAACAGTTCCCCCAACCAAACCTTTTAAACTTTTAATAAACTTTTATTGAATTTAATCCTAGAAGCTTTTCTCATTATTTCACATTCCCTTGTACAATAAAATATACTTTTTAAAAATCACTATGCATCAATAAACATCTGTAGACAAATTACATTAATAAACTTATATTTTACTCTCTATATACATGTTGGCAATGTCAAAGCTTCAAGATTCACCTGGAGGTCTGCAAAACCAAGGAAATGTACACAAATAACTTACATTTAGGAAAACCAAGAGATGGAGGAGTATTTTTCCACATTATTGTGGGTCACAGTATTTAAAATATTTTTTTTTCTAGTAACTCTTTACAACCACATTGTCTCAGCAGAGAATGATTAACCAAACAGAAGCAGAAAGAAAAAAAATCAAGTTGCAGTTACTGATTTCAGTGCAGAACTAAGTCAAGTAAAAAACTACACTTGATTCTTACAGAATATACAATAGAGTGGAGACCTCTCCAGTGCTAAGGCTTCTTCAGCATTTAGTCCTTACAACTACCGTCCTGAGGCAGGAAGATTCCAGTGGATATCACTTTTCAGGTTTTAAACGGAATGATTCTAAACTAAACCATTCCTCAGTCTATACGTTAGACCAAGTGGTAAAATACACGCGCGTTTCGATGCCACATTTCTGCTTAATACTTTATATGGCCCTGAAAAAGGAAACATTGGCATCCAAAAACAACATTTTCCAACATAATAAAAAGGCACTGAGCTATAGTACTGTACATACAGTAACATCTGTGTTTGCATAGATCGACAACAACTTTGAACGCAGCAAGGGAAACAGTAACTGAGAGGGAACATGGAAGCAGCAGGAATTCTTGCTCAATAACCAGCTTAGGGCAAAGAATCTTTTGCAAAAAAAAAAAAAAAAAAGTTCAGTCTGTCAGTTTTGTTTGTCCTTCATAAATTAATAAAGTGTTCTTAGAGGAGTGTTTTCTGCTCAAAAAGCTGCAGGTCAAAACGGACCCAGACTTCCCCGGTTGGGACTTCATGCAGCAGTAAGTGTTTAGTCGTGGGGCCTTTGCTCTCTTGTTCCGTTCGGATTTTCGCTACCGGAACTTCAGTGCGACCCAAAAAATCTGTTGGGCAAACAAGTAAAAGATGTCATTAAGCAAAGACACAAAGCTTAGAAAATCTGAAAGCAGGAGGTTAACCAGCAGGGATGGAGACCAGCACAATTCAGTGCAGCTCGGGCTCTGACTTCACACCGTAGCTTTGGCTAGTCACCCGGTACTACTATTGTTAATGACTTGAACTTTCCTTTCTGCAACAATTCAAATTTATGACAAGTGACAATCAGGACAGAAAGAGCAAGCTTATAGCCAAAGGGATTCAGTTCTAGAGCACTGCTCCCAAGCTTCCTGGCTGAGTGGCCCCCAGCTTTGTGTACATGTATATCAGCCAGCAGTGACAAAAAAGGGTTTTTTAGAAGACAAAGTGCTATGGTGTTAGAATGGAAAATACACCTTTATGTCACAGTTTGATCCAAGGGCTTTAAAAATACAGATTGCTCTCAGTAACACAACTTCCAGTGTTTTCCATGTCAGCATTGAGTGATGGAAGCGATTTACAAGTCAGCTGCAGTGCTCCACGGACCATAAAAAATGCAGTATTTGGGCTCAGCCACCTGGTAATTAGGCTTGTAAGTCATTCTTTTATACAAGAACAGCAACCTTGAACAAATAATGCCACAGCGGGTATAGGGTCCAATTCAGAAATGAAATGCCCTCTTTCATGGCCATTTCATATATAAGCATGAGAGAGTGCTGTTGCAAGGTGCATTTAACAGGAACTCAGCTCTCCAGCTGGGAGAAGAAGCCTTCCAGCAGCCACACGTCAGCTGAGCCACAGAAAGTGTGTTTGCAGAGGGCAAAGTCACATTTCCTTGCAGGAGAAAAGACGAAGAAGCTATAATCCAGCTCGGCTCAAGGCAGTACCTTGCAAATTGGCAGTAATTAACCCTGTGTCAAAGCCCTGAAGAAGCACTTTTGAAGAGCACCAGAAGCTACTGACTGCCAAAAATATGTTTCGTTTCCAAGAGAAAAAAAAAAACCAACACACAAGCTTATCAAGCTACTGCAGTGCAAATATAACCTAAAGTATTATTTCCAGGCACCGCCTACAATGACAGAGAAAAACTGCTTTCAGTTTCTGTCTCCCCAGCTTGACAGAAAATACTTCTGCTTCTGATGCAAAAGCCAGAGTGGGATCAAATCTTGACTGCTGGGGCTATTCAACCTCTTCAGTAATTAAGTATTTTTTCTACACAACGTTTCTCAGGAAGCAAGTGTATCTGCAGGCTCTGGAGCCACTGGTGAGGAACTCTGTGTCCCTAGTCACAAAAATGTGCTCTTTTCCTAAAATAAAGGCTCATGCACTTACCATCGGGTGAGAATTGATCCCTGTCGAACATGGTGATGCACAGGACATCCTGATACAGGTCCTTAATGAAGAACTGGCAGTTGAAGTTCCACTTGGGGTTCAAGGTGTCCTGCATGGTCCTTGTCGTGTAGCTCTGAGAGCCCATGCTGATTTCACAGTAGGGGTTGCTCTTCCCTAAACACAGAGGCAGCAATGAAATCCCTCAGCAGCGCAGAAACCTCCCTCCTCTCAGTGAGCCCTGCCAGGCATCGCAGCGCTCTGAGCCTCCTGCCCGCACTCACCGTTGGGCTTACAGGCCTTTAACTCCGTTGCTTCAATCACGTGCACCATCAGGCGTCCTATTCCTGAGGTCTTCTGTGAGCGAGCTGGGAACGACAAGCCAGAAATAAATGGATTGGCCGTAACCAGAAAAACTGGCAGCAGATCTGGGGATCTGAGAGTTCCCACACAGACACTGGGGCATCCTCCAGAACTGGCCTTGCTCCAGTTTCTGGCAGAGGTGAGAGGGGAACAGGAACTTGGTACCTTGATAAGCTTTTTCACGTTTCTTCTTCTCGGTCTCGATGTACTGCTCGGATGCTGCTTTGATTTTCTGGACCCAGGCAGTACTGCAAAGAGCAATCCCTATGGTGAGCGCTGTACCACAAGCAGGGAACTCCTCATCATCGCTGACTTTGCCCCAACCTCTTTCACCATTTTTCCCCCAATGGATTTCAGAGGCATTGCAAGTGAATTCAAGGACTACTACAGAGGTTTTGGATTCAATCTTATGCCACATTTCCCTATCAGCCTAAATAAATGAAATCAGAACTGCTGTTTTGTTAAAGTCTGCTGGGCCACATCAAAGACTGACTAGGACTGGGGAAGAATTTTATGGGATGCGGGACTTTGCAGTCCCAAGCTATTCTCTACAGCTAGGAGCAGTCGGTGTGAACCTGGATTCCACTGCAAGAGTGGCCACACAAGAAGAACAAAGTGAAAGAAAGCTTCCCATTCAAATCAGAGGAATTTCATGTCCTGACTGGGAGGCTGAACCCTGTCCTGTGAGCTCAGGACCCCCCTGTCTGCTCACTGGAAACAGCCCCAGCCACGTTCAGGAGGGTTCATCTCACACCTGCATTTGCGCTACTCACCGCTCGTTAATGTTGTCAGTTTTAAGCGTGTAAACTCTGTCGATGTGCGATATGTGGAAAACTGGCTCATCGCTTGAAGGATCCGTGGGCAATTTCACGAGGACTTCATTAAGGAAGACAGGCTGAAGGGAAAGAAAACATCAGTGTAGCAGTGGCACCAGAAACTTGACAAGGATATTTAAATACACGGTTTTCCTGGAGGGAAAATTAAAGTTGACACAGGAAGAACAACCAGATCACGATCACCATAAAAAATTGCAACAATGGACTAAGAAAAAACTACTCTGTCAGTAAGCCTCACGCTGTCCTCCTAGCTTCGGAGCTCTGTGAAAGGGACAGGACTGTAAGCAGAGATGTAGTGTGGAACTGGAAATCCTGCCTGCATAGAGCAATTTTCCAGGTTCCCTGTCTGAAAGCAGCCCTGATACTGAACTTTATCTCCCCAGCTCCAAAATATTGAGCACACTGACCAGTGAGCACATGCTGTGTGGACACAGAGACTGAAGTTCTTAAAAACTTGGCTCATGCCATTGTTTGGATTCCTAAACAAACATGCATATGTCAAAAAACAGCTCAAGCCACTGGAGACCTAAACAATCAGTCACACTTTAGAAAGGCACAAGCAC